GAAGGGAGTCCTTGTCCCCAGAGTGAGTACCTGATGAAGGGCCGAAGCAGGGCCAGAAATGCCTTCACATACCATGTCGCGTGGACAACCACCAGGGCTCGCAGGTTTTTCCGGAGCCTAAGGAGAATGTGAGAGCATCCTGTTTCTTCTCCCACCTTCATGCCTGAAGATCAGGAGGAGCTATCTTCTGTGCTTTAACTTCCCTCTCTCATTTCTAAATGTGTCTGGCCATTGGGTCTAATCCCCATTCTTTTAGCTGCAGTCTCAGCCCCACCCATCTTATTTAGCCCTCTTTTCCCTCATTTAATTAAAAAATTAAATTCCCTCATGAAATTAAAAAAAAATCTTTTATTTTATTTACTCATTCATTTACTTTAATTTGACCAGAGAGAGACAGAGAGAGAGAGAGAAAGAGAGAGAGAGAGAGAGAGGGGGAAAGTGAGAAAGCAAGCCACCAGGTCTAGGACTCGAACCATAGTTGGCCATGTGGGAGTGTCTAGCACCTCAACCACCATGCCACCTGCTGATCTCTTCCTCATTTTTAAGAAACTCTCTCCTTTCAGAATCCCTAGGCCTGGTTTTCTCTACCCTGTCTCCCTCCTATGCCCTACCCTTACATGAATTCCTTTTGCACTTTTCCATCCTTCCTAAAATTCGAGACAGAAGAAGACTAGTAAGGAAAAAAAAAGAGAAAAAAGGCCAAGAAGAAAGAGGAAATGAGCAAAAGAAAGGTAGGAGAAATAAAGGAGAGGAAAGGATCATAGGTCAGGGAGGAAAGCAGAGAAGACAATGGGCAAGCTCCATGGCCTGGTGGGTTAAGGAAGCTGGATCTCACATGGTTTGAGTCCTTGACCCAGAGGCTTGAGAAACACACTGGGTGTATGTGTGTACATCCCCAGAATCCCAGAGGAAGATAAGATGAAGGAGAAGAAATTGTGGTGTGGCCATTCCCCATAGGGGGTACTTTTTCCTCATCCTTGCTCTCTGTCACTCTCTGTCTCTGGTGAACACACGCATCCTCTAGCAAAAACAGAACAAAACAAAACAAAGCAAAACCAAACAGAACAATCCCTCCTACCCTCCGCCCCTCAAAAAAGGTTGTGGCTCTCTCATCCTAGTGTCTCACCGTCGATCCAGGGTATGGTAACACTGGCGTATCCAGCTCAGAGGTGGGACTTGGGCCCTGGCCGTGCCTCCACTCAAGTGAACAAGCAGATAATTTTCAGCTACCAGCAGCTCCAGGGTGCCCACCATATACCTGGAGAGATGAAGTTGGAGTAGGTCTGAGGTTGCAGGGAGCGAGGAAAACATCACTGTAGACCTTCTGATCCGCTACTGACCTCAGAAGAGGTTCTATTTCCCCTCCCTGTTGTCCTTTAAGCGTGCACCGTACCTAAATAGGTGTTCCATGATATAGGTGTAGTTGGGGATGCTGCTCCGGGGAAGATAACAGGAAGCAAAGAGGATGACAGCATTGAGGCCATCACCATGGTAACCTGGCCAGATAAGGAGAAAATTCATTTGGTCAACAAATACATATGTATTTTTTTAAAGAATTATTTTATTCATCCATACCCATTTATTTTAATTTGACCAGAGAGGGTCAGTGTGTGTGTGTGTGAGAGAGAGAGAGAGAGAGAGAGAGAGAGCAAACAAGCTCTCAGGTCTGAGACTCAAGATGCAGTCAGCCATGTGGGAGTCCAGTGCCCTTAACCACCACGCCACCTGCTGGCCCCATATGTAGTCTTTCAAATGTATTTTCTTTTCTTTTCTTTTTTTTTTTTTTTTTTGAATTTAAAGAATTATTTATTATTGTTTTTTCATATGAGTTTTGCCAGAGAAAGACAGAGAGGGGGAAAGTGAGAAAGCAAGCCACTAGGTCTGGAACTTGAACTGTGGTTGGCCATGTGGGAATTCCAGTGCCTTAATCACCATGCCACCTGCTGGCACTTAAATGTATTTTCTTTTCCTTTTACTTTATTGTTTCTTTTTTTCCCCCTCATAGGGTGTGTGCACTTGCCAAAGAGGTATAGAGAGAAAGAGAGAGAGGGAAAGTGAGAAGTCACCCCACAGGGCACTGGCTACACCACAATTCCTTCTCTTCCATTATCCTCTTAGGATTTTGGGCCTGCAAACACATACAACTAGTGTGTTCTTCAAGCCACTGGGTTCAGGACTCAAACTGTACAGTTGGCCATATGGGATCCAGCTGCCTTAACCACTATGACGTCAGCTGGCCCTCCATATAATTTTTAAAAATTTGCTATAGGGTATGTGTACTCACTGGAGAGAAAGAGAGAGAAAGTGAGAAATCACCCCCAAGAGGGCTGGCCTCATGCAATCCTTTCTTTATTCTCCTCCTGGGGTTTTGGGTACCCGTGCATGCACACATGCCTGGCGTGAGTTTCAAGCTGCTGGGTCTGGGACTCGCTCTGTGGTAGGCCAAGGGAGTCCAGTGCCTCAACCACTATGCCAACTGCTGGCCTCTGCCTGGCATGTTCTTCAAGTCACTGGGTCTGGAACTCGGACCAAATAGTTGGTCATGTGGGCTCCAGCCATCTTAACCACTGTGTCACCTGGCTGACCAGACAAAAACATGTTGAGGACAGTGCATTGATTTAAGGTGAGAGATGTGACAGTCTGGAAGTTACAGGGAGGATTCCGAACCCAACTGAGTATCCAGCATAGGCACTGTACCTCAGAAGCTGGTTTGGGGCCAGGTCCATGGCACAGTGGTGATGTGCTGTTGGATCCCTCATGGTGACCAAGTTTGAATCCCCAGCCCAGTCAACCTGAAACACACGGTGCACGTGTGCAAGTGCCAAGATCCAATGGAGGACTAGAGGATGGGGTCACCGGGTGACCAGACCATGAAGAGGATGCTCCTCTCTCTCTTTTTTCAAAACTATTTTGTTTAACTTTATTATTACTATTATTTTCCAGTTTGATCAGAAAGAGAGAAGAGAAAGAGAGGGAAAATGAGAAAGCAAGCCACCAGGTCAGGGACTTGAACCGCAGTCAGCTAGGTAGGAATCCAGCGTCCTTAACTACCACGCCACCTGCTAGCCCCTCTTTCTCTCTCTCTTATTCTCATGTGCATGTATTCTATCATGAATAACTGAAAAAAAAAAAAAAAAGCCATACCAGCTTGTGGCATGGTCATTAAAGTAGCAGGATCCCATGCTGACTGCATGGTTCTAGTCCTAGACCCAGTGACTCTGTGTGCCCAAAATCCCGAAAGGAGGGAGACTAAAGATAGGACTATGGCATGGCCATCCCCTAGGGGAGGTGCTTTCTCACTTTCTGTCTCTTTCTAGCAAGTACACGTGCTATCTGATGAAATTTTTTTAAAAAAATAAATAAAAGGAACCACAGTTCTTTTTTTTGTAAGAGAGATTTTTGCTATAGAGCATGTTGCGCTTGCTGGAGAGACAGAAAGACAGAAAGCAAGAAATCACTCCCCAAGGGGGATGGTCATGGCACAACCTCTTCTCCTCCATTCTCCTCTCACAATTTTGGGCACACACACACACACACACACACACACACACATACACACACACACACACACATCCAGAGTGAATTTTAAGTCACCAGGTCTGGGACTTGAACCATGGTCGATTATGTAAGAGTCCAGTGGTGTAACCATTATGCCATCTGCTGGTCTCAAGGAGCCGCAGTTCTTACCCCGCCACTCATGTTAGCCATTACCTCCATGAGATAGGACTTTCTTATAGGGTTCAATGACAGTCATGTCCACTCGCTGCTCCCGCTGTCCTGTACGGAATACCCTCCAGCGATGACCATCTTCTCCAGCCACATCCCACACACAACCTCGGCCCAGCCTTTCTGCTGCGTCACTGGCCCCTAGACCCTCTGCCTGGGGTAGATCATCTAAAAGAGAGAAATGAAGAATGATCAACAACACAAGGGAATAGATGAGGTCACCCAGGGAAAAGCATGTGAAGAAAGAAAATCTGATACCGGCAAAGGCCAGAGCTTTGCCCCTGTCTTTCATTACCACCAGTAACATGGCAACTCCCAAACTTGCCTCTCTAACCCAGATTTCGCTCCTAGCTCTAGATCCATACCCCTAAATGCCTGGTCTCCCTGATACTGACAAGTCACCAGACCCAAAATGGAACTCAAAACCATTCATTCTCTTCTCCCTCTCCCTTACATTTTCTGTCTTGATGAGTGACCCCATCCATCTAGCTGTCTAAAAGAAGACATTGTATCATCTGAGATTTTTTTCTTCTCTATTGGCCCTCAAACTGAAACCCAGATCCTCTTCCATTTATATGACATTATATTCTTCCTTATTTCTCCATTATATCTTTCTTTAACATTTTTTTTCTGGGGCTGGCAGATGGCGTGGTGGTTAAGGGCACTGGACTCCCACATGCCCGACTGCAGTTCGACTCCTGGGCCTGGTAGCTTGCCTTCTCACTTTCCCTCTCTCTCATTCTGTCCCTCTCTGGTCAAGTTAAAATAAATAAAATAAATAAATAAAGTTAGATACAATTAAAAAATTATTTTTCCCACAAAGCATGAGCACTTGTGTCTATTCTGTTTTCCTCCAATCCAGCCTCTACACCGCCACCAGGGCAAGCTTTCTTTTCAGATGACAATATATCCTACTCACCATTCTCAAGAACTTTCCCTTGCAAGAGAAACAGCTGCCTCATCTTAAAAAAATAGCATTTAGTAGTCCACTGAATGGGTGCACCATGATAGAATTAATACTCTACTGGGAGCCGGCATGTGGCGCGGTGGTTAAGGGCGCTGAACTCCCACATGGCTGACTACAGTTCGAGTCCTGGACCTGGTAGCTTGCTTTCTCGCTTTCCTTCTCTCTCTTTCTCTCTCCTTCTAAACAAATAAAAAATAAATAAAGTTAAATAAAATAATTCCTAAAAGGGACCAGCAGTTGGTGTAATGGCTATGTTGCTGGACTCCCATGTAGTCAACCGCGGTTTGAGTCCCGGACCCGGTAGCTTAAACTCATGCCGGGCATGTGTGCGTGCGTGCCCAAGATCCCAAGAGGAGAATGGAGGAGAAGGGATTGCGGTGTGGCCATCCCCCTTGGGAGGTGATTTCTCGCTTTCTGTTTCTGTCTCTTTCTGTCTTTCTGACAAGCAAACGCGTCCTATAGCGAAAACCTCTCAATAAAAAGAAAATTCTTAAAAAAATTACCCTACTGAAGGATCTTTCAGTCACTTCCAGTCTTTTCAGTGTCACTACATTTAAAAAAAATAATTATTTACTGAATTTTCTTTCTTTCTTTCTTTCTTTTTTTAATTTGACCAGAGAGAGACACACACAGAGAGATAGGGAGAGAGAGGGGGAAAGTGAAAAAGTAAGCTACCAGGTCCAGGACTTGAACCGTGGTCGGCCATGTGGGAGTGTCCAGCATCTTAACCACCATGCTTCCTGGTGCTCCCCAGAGCCATTATATCCGATCATGTTATTTGTTTGACTAAAATCTTTACATGACTCCCCATTGCCTACAGGATAAAATACAAAATTCTTTTGTTTTTTAAGAGTTTTTTTGCCTTAGGGCATGTGTGCTCACCAAAGAGAGACAGACAGTGAGAAGGAAAGTGAGGAATCACCACACCACAATCCCTTCTCCTCCATTCTCCTCTCAGGATCTTTGGCACTCATGCACACACAACTGGTGTAAGTTTTAAGCTGCAAGGTCCGGGACTTGAACCATGGTCAGCCATGTGGCGGTCCAGCAACATAACTGCTATGCCATCTGCTGGTCCCTAAAATCCAAACTTCTAAGCATGGTAACAAGAGCCCTACGATTTGACTTAGACTACTTAACCCAGCACTATCTCTGTCATTCTCTTGTCACCTCCTAGCCTTTCATATGGAAATCATCGTGCTTCATACTTTGAATTCCAACGAGCCATGCTATTGCTTTGCTTCTTCCACTTAGAATGCTCTCTCTCCACCTACGTGATAAACATCAGCTTCAGCTTTCAACACCCAGCTCAGAGTCACCTCCACTGTAAAATCTTTCCTAACAGCTCTCAGGCAAAACTGACCTTTTCCCCTCCCTGCCCACACTGTCCTATGCCCTTAACTGCGATTATGTGTATATTTGTTCATATCTGACTACGCACAGAATTCTGAGCATAGGGCCTCTCTTGTCATCTTTATGAATGATCCCAGTCCTAGTTCAGTGAGCACATATACCAGACATCAGTAGTTTTCCTTAATAAAAAAGGACTTGAGGGGACCAGTTGTCGTAATGGCTATGTTACTGAACTCCCATGTAGTCAACCGCAGTTCGAGTCCTGGACCCTGCGGCATAAACTTACACTGGACGTGTGTGTGTGTGTGTGTGTGTGTGTGTGTGTATGTGTGTATGTGTGTGCCCAGGACCCCAAGAGAATGAAGGAGAAGGGATTGTGGCGTGGCCATCCCCTCTGGGGAGTGATTTCTCACTTTCTGTCTCTCTGTCTCTCTCTGTCTTTCTGGCGAGCACACATGCCCTATAGCAAAAACAAAACAAAACAAACAAACAACAACAACAAAAACAAACAAACAAACCTCTCCCAAAAAAAAGGACTTGGGGCTAGCAGGTGGTATGGTGGTTAAAGCACTGGATTCCCACATGGTCAACCGTGGTTTGCATCTTAGACCTGGGAGCTTGGAAATCATGCCAGCCACACATGTGTGCATACCCAGAATACCAAGAGGAGAATGGAGAAGGGATTGTGGCATGGCTACTCCCCTTAAGGGGTGATTGCTCTTTCCTTCTCTCTGTCTCTGTCTCTATCCAGTGAGTGCATGTGCCCTATGCCAAAAACCTGAAAAAAACAATAAACAAAGGACCCCCCCCATCCCACTGACTGCTCTGAGCTCTACATTTCCATTCAGAAGAAACTGAATTCTGCTGACCTCACCTCTTGCTCCCTACCTTATTAGTTCTTCATTATTTTTTAAAAAGTGTTTATGTATTTAATTCCATTTGTTATTAGTATTATTATTTTTAATTTGACCACAGAGAGAAAGGGAAACAGAGAGCAAGCCGCCAGGTACAAGGACTTGAACTGAGGTTGGCCACGTGGGAGTCCAGCGTCCCCAACCACCACACCACCTGCCGGCCCCCCACCTTGTTAGTTCTAACTCCAGCCCCGTTAACTCCATCCTGAGCTTCTTTCCACACTGGCCTCTACTTCTACCTGCTGTTCTCAGGTTGCCTTCGCACCTTCCCATTCGAATTCGTGTCCACTGTCCAGCTGCTCGGAGTCTGAAGGCGTCTCCAATTCATCTATCTCCAAGTCAGAACTGCCATCAGGAGAGGAAGGTGCAGAGTGGATGGGAGAGGCTCCTTTAACTCCAGGCCCCTCGGTCAGACTCAGCTGCAACTCGGGGGCGGAAAGACGCTTACGCATGGGGCGCCGGCCACACAGCGCTAAGGTGCTGGGGGTACCTGGGGTTGGAGAACAGGAGAAAAAAGCCCAGAAAGCTGTGTGCGTGTGTGTGCATGTGCACATGCTGGGAGGCTGCGGGGGGTTAAATTCCTGTATGTGGAAGTGATAATATGGGGTGACCACTGAAGAAGGGACTGACACGGGACATTTGGGAAAAGCGGAAATGAAACTGCAGAGGGACAGGGATGGCTTGGCCTTCACTGGAGTAGAATGGAGAACTTGAGGCCTGGTGCTCACTTTACCCACCTGCCTGTGAGTCTCTGTTGGGGTCCTCAGGGTCTTCAGAAGGGCCAGCCTCCTCAGGAAGCAATCTAGAGGGGAAGTCATTTAAAGGGGGCAGAGATAAAGGCTAAAGGTGACAAGCCAGGTGTCAATTTTTTATTAATTGCCAGAGGATGCATATGCTCTCCAGAGAGAGAGAGAGAGAGAGAGAAAGTGCCCTCCCGATGAGGTGTGGTCATACCGTAATCCCTTCTGAGTTTTCTATCCTGTCAGGATTTTGAGTATGCACACCCGGAATACTTTTTTTTTTTTTCTTTTTTGAGAGGTTTTTGCTATAGGGCACCTGTGCTCACTGGAAAGACAGAGAGACAGAAATCGAGAAATCACCCTCCAGGGAATATGGCTAAACCGCAATCCCTTCTCCTCCATTCTCCTCTCGGGATCTTGGGCACGCACGCACACGCACCCAGTGTGAGATTTAAGCCACCAGGTCTGGAACACGAACTATGGTTGACTACAGGGGAGTCCAGCTACATAGCCGTTACACTACCTGCTGGTCCCCCCGGAATACTTTTTTTTTTTTCTTTTTTGAGAGGTTTTTGCTATAGGGCACCTGTGCTCACTGGAAAGACAGAGAGACAGAAATCGAGAAATCACCCTCCAGGGAATATGGCTAAACCGCAATCCCTTCTCCTCCATTCTCCTCTCGGGATCTTGGGCACGCACGCACACGCACCCAGTGTGAGATTTAAGCCACCAGGTCTGGAACACGAACTATGGTTGACTACAGGGGAGTCCAGCTACATAGCCGTTACACTAACTGCTGGTCCCCCCGGAATACTTTTCAAGCCACCAGGACTGGGATTTGAACTGCAGTTGGGCCATGTGGGATCTGCTCCCGATGTGTGGCGTTAACAGCTGTGCTGTGGGGTTGGCCCAAGCCAGGTATCATCTTACCAGTTCTTGCCCTGCCATGATTTTACCACTTTTGCTTACTTTTTTTCTGTTTTGAAGAATTATCTATTTGGGGCCAGCAGGTAGCACAGTGGTTAAGGGTGTTGGACTCCCACACGGCTGACTGCGGTTTGAATCTTGGACCTGGTGGCTTGCTCTCTCACTTTCTCTCTCTCTCTCCCCCTCTCTGGTCAAATTAAAACAAACAAACAAAGTTAAACAAAAAGATACTTTAAAAAATTATTTAATTTTTTTTTTCATTTGACCAGAGAGAGACACAGAGAGAAAGAGAGGGAAAGTGAGAAAGCAAACCACCAGGTCCAGGATTCGAACCATGGTCAACTATGTGGGAGTATCCAGCACCTTAAACACTATGTTACCTGCTGGTCCCTTTCTTTTTTCCTTTTATATGACAGTGGTTGTGTGTGTGTGCTCATGGGTGTGGAGAGAACACACGTTTACTTTCACAGGATGATCCCCCTTCCCCGGCCCTCCAGCCCGAAAGGATCCTGAGGGACCTGTCTTCAAGCCAACCTGGGAATCCAAACCTATGGTCAGACATAAGGCTTCTAGGCTGGGAGGGCACTTGCAAGACCGCTGTGCCTTAGCAGCTGAGCCTTTGCTTTTTCTTTCTTTTTCTGTAGCTTTTGCTACAGGGTGGGTATGCTCACTAGAGAGAGACAGAGAAAACGAGGGGGAGAGGGAAAATGAGACATCATCTCCCAGGGGGACGGCCACACCTCGATCTTGTGTCCTTCATTCTCCTCTTGGAATTTTGGGCACACATGCCTGGTGTGATTTTTCTTTCTTTCTTTCTTTTTTTTTCGTTTTTTTTTTTAGGTTTTTGCCATAGGATATAGGTGCTTACAGGAGAGACAGAGAGAAATGTAAAGGGAAAGTGAGAAATTAACCCCCAGAGGGGATGGCCACATCATAATCCCTCGTATCCATTCTCTTCCTGGGATTTTGGACACACATGCACACACACCTGGTGTCTTCTTTTTTGAGAATTTTTAAAACATTATTTAATTCCATTTGTTATTATTTTTTAACCTGACCAGAGAGACACAGAGAGAGAGAGAGAAAGGGAAAGGGGGAGAGTAAGCCACCAGATCTGGAACTCAAACTGCAGTTGACCATGTGCCTTAACCACCATGTTACCTGCTGGTCCCTCTGTTTTCTTTCTTTTTCTTTTTTTTTTGTAGAGGACTTTTGCCTTAGGGTGTGTGCACTCACCAGAGAGAGACAGAGACAGTGAGATGGAAAGTGAGAAATCACCCCCCCGGGGGGGATGGCCATGCCACAACCCCTTATCCATTCCTCTCCTGGGATCTTGAGCATGCATGCGCACACGCCCGGTGTGAGTTTCAAGCCACCAGATCCCGGCCTTGAATTGCGGCCGGCCATGTTGGAAGCCAGCGAGATAACCACTGTGCCATCTGCTGGCCCCAGTCCCTCTTTCTTTTTCACACCGCTTCCCTTCAAGTCCTGGTTGACCATCCCTGCGGTCCACGGGTGACCACCCCTTCCTTCTCACCACCTCCCACTTTCTCACCGAGGGAATTCATCATCCTGCCATTCCTCCTTCAGCTCCAGTTCCCCAAGGCTCAGGGCTGCTCCTGGCTCTGCTGCTTCTGCATTCTCCCCGACCCTAAGACAGTCACCCCAGAAGAAAACATTACCATGAGACGACCGAGGCAGTGTCCTCAGGGAACTGGATGTTAGGGAGGAAATGCTGAAATAGAACAGTAATTAAAGTTGAGAGCAGAGGGCAGGCCTTAGAAAGAACTAGATGCCCTGCGTCCTCTACAGAGGCTTCTTCCCCCTCACTGCTCCCTAGCATGGTCCTTGCTGCTGGATTTAAGAGTGAAGACAGGCTGCAAAGCAAATCGCATTTTCCTGTAAGGGAGGTGCCACACCTAGAGTAGGCTGAGAGATGTCTTGTGTTACGGTTGGCTGGCACCCAGACCGACCTGCTCAGCTACCGCTGGGCAAAGTTGAGGAAGACGGCTCCTCGTCTGGCCTGCTTTTCCTCCACTGTGCTCGGGAGTGGCTAGGGGAAAGCAGGACAGGGTTGGAGGGACGAGGGAAGAAGGTCTAAGAAGAGAGATCTGCTGGGAAGAATCTGGGCCTGACTCCATTCCGGGTCAGCCTTCCCGCTGGCTCTCCTGGAGGGTCGGAGTTGGAAAGTAAAGACACAAGATACAGAAACTTAATTGTTTTGTCTTTTTTTTTTTTAAGCCAGGGGATTATCCTGGATCTTCTGTCCCCTAGATCATTTCATACTGATATTTCCGATCTAAAGCCACCCCCATCCCTTCTCTCCCCTTCAGGAACCCCTGATATTATCTTGGTTAAGAGCTGAATAATGGGAAAGTCCCTCAAGATTATTTGCTCACTCTGTTTCCAGTCAAGTGAGCCCAGGTCTTACTTACCCAATATCTAATGTCTTTTTTTCTGCCTCTTGTACGGTCCCCATCTTCACACGTTCTCCCGTCTCGATAGGCTTCCGGCTTCCGCTGTCGGGAGCTGGGTGTCCCAGCCCCTTGGCCCTTCCCCGTTTCTGTCTCAGCTGTTGGTGCCCTTGCTTCCAAGGAGGGAGGTGTGGAAGGGAGGTAACCTCATCTTCAAACAGGTTTTGCCACCTCCCCTCCCAACCAGCGGGTTTGCCCCAAAGAAAAACCCTGCCTCCTGCGTGGGGGCGGGTTTTGAGAGCACGTTTTCTAGGCTAGCTAGCTAGAGCGCTGTCCTCCTGCATACTCCTTAGAGCCTCTTTTTGCAAGAGGGCAATGTGTGGTTGCCAGAGATGGAGGGAGAGGGAGAAAGCAACCCTCCAAGGGCACAATCCCCGCTTCTCCGTTTCTCCATTCTGTTGGGGTTTGGGGAATATGCACACAAGTGCCCAGAATGTTTTTCAAGCCACTGGAGCTGGGATTCAAACCATGGTCAGTCATGCGGGATCTGGCTCCCTTAGTAGAATTAAGTAGAAACCACATTTTTTGGTTATAAGACAATCTTTGGCTTATTATTCAGGCATATGCAAGAGCGGGGAGACAGATGTTATAAGGAAGGTGTTCTGGGACATTACACAAATTAAAGACTGAGGATGAGGAGAGAGAGATGCCTATTGTTCCTATTTCCCAAAAGCTGGCAGAAGGAAGACATCAAGTACAATAAAAAAGGTTTTTTGTTGTTTGTTTGTTTTTTAGTTGTTGTTACAAGGTATATGTGTGCTCTCCAGAGAAAGAGAGGGAAGGTAAGAAATCCCCCCCTTCCGGGGGAGATGGCCATGCCAGAATCCCATCTCCTCCTGGGATTTAGGGCCCACTGAGATTTCTAAGCCACTGAGTCTGGGACTCAAACTGTGCAGCCAGCCATGTGGGACCCTACGCCGTACTCCCCACGCCACCTGCTGGCCCAGGGGGATGGATCTTTAAGAGACTGAAATAATTATCAATAGGAAAGGGCTGATTAGGGTTGTAAAAAGAGATAATTAGACCCCAAACAGGAAAAAAAGTATTTAATACTTTAACAAAATGCAAAATAAAGTACCCAAGTTACAAAACATAAGTGCCTTTGGTTCAGTGATCACACTACTATTTTTACTTTCCAAACGGCTACGGACATCATACCCTCCAAGTGAAGTCAGACTGTCCCCCTCCTACACGAAAATGTCACACGCAAACGTCACCTACCCCCCTGTGCAGTGACATTGTTGGCAATTACACAGGACAGAGCTGCGGGGCAGGAAGCGGGGTAACGGGCTGTTCTGAAGAAAAAAGGGAGGACGCTACACATGCAGAGCTAGTCAGGAAAGGGGGCTGTGCAGGGTCACTACGGCGAGAATCACACCCCGTACCTGCTACATGAGGCCAAGGCCCTGGGTACAGTCACACCTAAATACAGACAACTCAGGGACCCTGAGCATTCCCAGGGAAGAAAGAAAAACACAGAGAAGCAGAGGAGAGAAGGCCTCGTCCGAAGCCTGTTTTAGACGGGGGACATGAGACCAGAGCAGCGAGGGCCTCAGTCACAGGCAGGCAGTGTCGGACTTCGCGCTTCTTCTCACAAGAGCGACGACAGAACGGGATGGACGAGAAACGCATCAACCTGCTGAGGGCTCTGATCCCAGCTCTGCTGTCTCCTGGGATGTGAGTCCACGAGGTCTTTAGACCTCCTAGGTACCTCCTGACCTCTCAAGACTCAAAGGTCTTCAGGGTTTCTTCAGGGCTCCTGAGGCTCAAGGAAAGAGGGATCCAATGCAAGAGAGAGCCTGGCCAGACCACCTGATCGGGACAGAAGACAATGGCCTCCATTCTGCTCCCAGACTGTCACTATAATCTCAGAAAGTGTCATCTCTGAAGGAAACACCATCATCTAACGGGGGCGGGGGGAGGCAGAGAGTCATGAAGCTGGAAATCTGCTGAAGGTTGAAAACTCGGGTGAGAGTTCCCAAACCACACCCCCTTTTCCATCTAGCTGGAAGCAGCTGTTCAATAAGTACTTGCGTGAGTGAGTAAATGACACGTGGAGACAGTCATGAATGCACGGTCCCACGAGACACCAGTCTGTTCAAGGTCCTTACTGAGGGCACCTTGGGGTCTACATTCTTTTTGTCCCACACTGCTGGGACTGTGGGTGTATGACACTGTGCCCCTGGCAAATGAAACAGAGGAAAGTCAGTGCAGATATAAATAACACAATTAAATAATGAAGTTTGATTGACAGAGCTGGGGGAAGGCAGAAAGCCGTTCTCTAAGCAGCTGCTCCTTTCCCGTCTTTCTCTTCCCGGCTTTACGAACAGTACACAAGGTTCTGGTGCAAGACAGAGCTGCTGAACTCTCCGAACATCTCAAAACATGCATCTGAGGCGGGTCAGGCAGGCTCTCCCACCACCCCTCTCTCCCCA